AGAGAGAGAGAGAGAGAGAGAGAGAGAGAGAGAGAGAGAGAGAGAGAACTAGTGTGCTACCTATCACACAATATCCCTAATTTCACATCCCAGTAAAATAATCATGTGTAGGATTAATGTAATCAGAATTTCTTTTACTTATGTCCTCAAACATGTTAAGTGTTCTTAAAAGAGTTCTTGAAAGAATAGCTATGTAAACATGATCTGCACTCAGCTTTTTCTTTATAACAAAATGTCAACCAAGCTCCTTACTTATTACTATTACAAAGTTCTTCTTTTTACACTGTATTTGAGAGTGCACAGCCATTACAGAGCTGCTTAGGAAATTCTAACCATGAATTACATCTTCATATCTTGCTTAAGGGAGATATGTTTTTGGAAATGCATAGACTGCATTTTTCTTATCAAATATTGAAGGCAATAGGCCAGTGGGTCTCAATCTTTTCTTCATCACATACCCCTTTAAATACTATTTGTGGCCATTGATCACAGCCACAAACCCCCAAGATTTAACTCAAGATTTAAATCATGACATATTTCAAGCTTTCACAGACCCCTGTGATGACATCACGGCTCCCCAGGGGTCCACGAACCACAGGTTGAGAACCACTTTAAAAGGCAATATATTTTCATATTCCAGGTTGGCCAAAGAACAACCATAGCAAGATTCAGTAGTTTGGGGTTTTAAGGCTTTGGTGTTCTGGGAACTTATCATCTTTGCAGTTTGATGGGTGGCATCAGACAGTCCCTGTGCATAATCTGGGTGTCCTTTGGACTCATAATTCCTGCTTGGAAAGCAGCTACAGTTCTATCCAGGACAGCTTTTCTTCAGTTTTGTGTGATGTGTCAGATGGGCATGTTCATGGACTGGGAGGCTCTACTCTCACATATGCTTTGGCACCTCCTACATGGATTTGTGTAACACACTCTAAAATGGAGTTACCTTTGGAAAGCATCCAGAAGGTTCATATGGTGCAAAATGCAATGGTGAAGGAAGTCATGCATACTCCTTGTTCAGCAAACATTGTAACTCTTGTCTGTGAAGAGCATCAGTTGCGAGTTTGCTTCCAAATTAAACTCAAGGTGCTGGTAATAATCTATAAAACCTTACACAGGACTGCATTATTTAGACGGCTGCCTCTTCCTAGTCTCCCAGGTCTGGCAGGAGGGGAATGGTATAGAACCTTTTGATTAAGAGGTGTCATCTGATGACCCAAGGGAAAAACATTTTCTGCCATAGCACCTTCAGGCTGGCTCCAACACTGCTTGTCTTTTGAAAGGGTCTAAACACATATTTGTGTCAATGGGCCTGGGGATCTGGATTATGATTTGGAGCCTGCTAGATTCACTAATTAATCTACAACTTGCCTTTGCCTGATTTTTATATATTTTTTTGTTTTAATTTTTGTTTCAATTAGGTTTTCCCTTTTGTTTTAGGAGTTATTTTTGTATTTTGTTTATTTTTTGTGTTATTTTGTTTTTTTTTAACTCTATGAGCTGCCCAGCATCACAAATGTGAGATATAAATTGAATGAATTAATGAATAAACAAGGAAATCTTCCTGCCCCTAAAATTAAAAAAGGGAAGTGAGTAATACATGAAAGCAATATCTTATGGAACCAATATATTATTTTAAATAAATCATATTTATATAAAAATCTGCTTTAATCATACAATTAAGTCCTCTTTTCCTCAAGTTTCTAGTCCTTTCTTTTCTATTAAAATATCCCTGTCAGACTTTTCTACTGCACCAAAGCACAGAGTCTGAAAACTGCCGGTTTATACTGTGGTTTCATTGAATCCTTCATTCAATTTAATATAACATTTAATCATTATGAGTCAGATTCTAAATTGCCCTTCTACTAGTATACAGTTCATAGCACGTAAAGTTGGATAATCAAGCCTCAAATTCATAATGCCATCTGTACAATCTCTCACACAGATCAAGACATTCAGCAACTTGCTAGAACAGATTTCTAGAACATTCACCAAAACCAACTCCTTTTTAACCTGTTGTGGAATCCCACTCAAAGACATTCTGAATCACAACACATGCAGAAGTATTTTCACCCACAAATTTAGGATGTTGTGTTTTAAAATTAATTGTTAAATGAATTAACTAGCCCAGGGCTCTCCAACCTTAGCAAATTTAAGACTTAAGGACTTCAACTCCCAGGATTTGCTGGCTGAGGAATTCTGGGAGTTGAAGTCCACAAATCTTAAAGTTGCTAAGATTGGAGACCTCAGAACTAGCCAATCAACTTAACCAGTTAATTCTTTGGGAAGAGAATCTTAAAAGTGGTTTCAGATACATAGTTTGCATAGAAACAATATACATTCCATATCTACAATGGACAGAAGGAGCGCACCTTTTGTGCCCTGCGCTTATCAGCTCGTTGGTTCTGATGATAGATGCGACTGAAGTTGGAGACAATGACTGGAACTGGAAGAGCAATGACTAAGACCCCGCTGAGAGAACAAATGGAACCAAATATCTTCCCAGCTATTGTCTTCGGCACCATGTCACCATACCTGGGGTAAAAAACAAAAGTCTGCTTAAACATACAAGCTATAATTTGCCATTTAAGGACTTAACAGTATCATTCCACTGTGTGAACAAGCCTTGTATTGTTTTTGAGAAGAGATCCTAGTATTGCTAGTCCACGCATCAATTTATATACATTCAGTGTGTCTTTAATGGTAAGGAAGGGGAGGATATCGAAAAATATGGTGATCACATTTCAGTTATTGAGATCTGGTTGCATCTAATCCTTGGAGCGATGCATATGGTGAATCAGTCCTTTTTCTTTTTAATCTTCTAGAACAGTGGTTCTCAACCTGTGGTCTGCAGATTATGGGGTGCTGCGAGGTTGTCACAGGGGGTGCACAAAGGCTTGAAGAAATCTTATGATTTAAATCTAGAGTTAAGTCTTGGGGGTCCTCCGTCATGGTCCATGGACACAAAACTATTTGGGGGTGTGGGATCCATGGTGAAGAAAAGGTTGAGAACCACTGTTCTAGAACAGTTGTTCTGGGGGCATTGGAAGTTGGATTAAATTGGAGCATCTTGTTAAAAATCTGTTCCCTTGCCATCCAGAAATATTTTTTCCCTACAAAAAGTTACCGTTGAATGCAACTCTTTGAAAATAAATAAGGGCTTCCTGTAAATAAAGGAAGGCTGGTGCAGATAAATGGGTAAAGGAAACATGTTTTCTCTCATTCATTAACCCAAAAAATGGATCATACAGTTGTATTAACTGAAACAAAATTCAAGGAAAACAAACAAAATTCATTTTCTTTGTAAAAAGGAATGAAGGGACAGGAATGCTGCGCAGCGTATGATGCCAGCCAGTAACTCTGTGACTTTAGAATGGAAATATCTGCATAATGGTAAATTAGAGTGTCATAAACTGCTGATAATTAAACAGAGCATCTTTATTCAAAATAATAAGTGGATTGGGTAGATCTGTTCCATTTTCTATTTTGAAAAGTTTTAGTCTGGCTTTTTAAATTCATGAGATGCAATCTGTAAAAAGATGTTTGAAGTGATCAAGAGATTTCTTCCATCTATCATCATCATCATCATCATCATCATCATCATCATCATCATCATCATCATCTTCTTCATCTTCTTCATCATCATCATCATCATCATCATCATCTTTCTTATATCAGCGACTAGCTCTTCATAAATTGGAGATTCACCTCAACGATTCCTAATATACCTAAGAAGGCTGGAAAAGACCTTCATTTCAAACCCTGGAGAAATGTTTAGTTAACATGAACATTACTGAACTATAGCTAAACCAATAGTATGACTCAGTATGTTTTCATCACTGTAAAATATCTGTATCTAATTCCATTTATTACTGTTATGTATCACTTTTACAAAATAAAAACAGAACTCAAACAAGCAGGCTTGCAGGCGAGGTAGTAGATGCTCAAGATTATCCCATGAACATTACAGTTTGGTTGAATTTCAATGCTACCTTAATTAAATTTGGGACTCTTCAAATTACTGCATGCGAAGAATAAAATGTCATGTGAAAAATCATCAGCTGCATTCTTCTTCCACCCTTTATTATTGCTCTAGAAATACTTTGAATCATATTATTAGTGCCATCCTTCTTCCCAAAAATCTATTGATGAAGTGTAGCAGCATGTTGCTTAATTGACTAAAATGTATTTCATGACAATAATAATTTGTGTCATTGCAATAACAATTCAGGATAATACAACATATCAGTTCTATACTCAAATTAAGATAAATTTCTGTACAGATCCCAAATAAAGGCAGATATTCCAATCTGACAAGGGAGAAACCCACATGGAAATAGCCTCTCCAATTGCATAGGAGGAAGGCGCCCTATACCATTGCGGATATAATGGTCATTGAGGAAACTTAAAAGTATCTTTTGATGCCATAACTGAAGTATAAAACTTATGCCTTGCTTTAGTGCTAAGCTAATGACATTTTTGTTTTCTAGTTCAATTTGAAGAATAACAACTATATTGTTAATACAGGTATCAGGCCCCAAACCTAAGACAGACACATGAAAATTATTCCAAGCTGAGTTATTTATTGTTCTATATTAATTGATAAAATCTTTCCAGACTGAGAACTCAACTACCTCCATCTACAATTATTCTGAATTACTAGGGACGAGATGTTTTCACCTTCTTTCTCTCACACATAATATCTGAGCAGAGTTGCCCCTTTACTCCTCTGGAACTCTGGGGATCCACCTCCTCACAAATCACTGTTCCTTCAGAACACTGAAAATACTTTATACAGAGGATTTTGTTTCTACTCAGGCACAGTTCTTTTCACAGAAGTAAAACTTCATTTTCATTGAACAGAAAAAAGAATATTCTTAGAAGCCTCTGATGAACAGTGATTTAAAAAGTCAAAGCTGAGTGAAACCCATCCCTTTTTATGTGTGTGTCACATGTTGCTCACATGTAAAAAAAAACAAGATTTTTTTCTTTATTTTGAAAGTTAAATGTGTCTGTCATGAATGCCACAAACACACATTTAAATTTCTGCTTGAATAAGTGTTAAGAATGAATTTGAAAAGTCATACAGCTAAAGCACAGAATTAACAAATTGCAGTAATCAGGAATTCCACCAGGGGACATAAAGTACCACTAGAAGATAACTAAAACAAGAAAATCAATATTTTGTGTTTAATACCACATGACACATACTTAAAAAATATCCTCCATTCTAATTCAATTATATTTTCTTCATGAAAGCTATATGCATGTCAAAGAAAAAAAAAGATGATTCAATATTTTTTCTTGTTTATCACATATAAAAAAGGGATTACAGAGATTGGAAAAATAAAATAAATAGAAGGCCATTTAACCTGACAGTACTCCTTTTGAAAAACAAGGTCATTTCTTATTAATGCATACAAAAGATGAAAACTGTAGGTAGTTATAATCAAGTCCCTGATAAATAAATGAGAATGGGAAAAATCAGATAGTGGAAGAAAATGAAAAGAGAGAACAAATAACTAATCAGAATTACTCTTCTCTGAAAATAAAGCACTTACTATTTGAAGAATTCACAAAGGTATCTCAGGGCTTGGTAACTATAGACAATTGTGATGTGTCTTGTGGTAATTTAAACAGCAAAATGAATTGGACTTGTGCTGTTGGCAAGAAGGGCAAAAAAGTCAAATGTCAGTCATAATTATGTGACTGAAGTCATAGTCATGTCCATATATATATATATATATATATATATATATATATATATATATA